AAAACTAATAGTTACTACTTCTTTGATTTTGTTTCACGGTGCAAGTGTGATGACTCTATTGACTTGGCAATGATTTGTTTGGTTTTAAGAATTCAACAAACCAAAAGAAAAGCAAGCCATGTAGCTACAGCAGGAACGTGGAGAGCTTTGCAACGAAATGTGGTGATGACGAGCACACGTGATATCGCTAGACAAATTGCTTAGTACATAGCAGTTTACCTTGGATTCGTTTTGAGTGATGATTACGAACCCAACCTACGTTTGGTAAGAAAACAAAACATTTTATAGCTGTCTTTATATGGTGTTGGATGCTATATTTTAGAGATCAAAAATGATGGAATAGACCTAATCGGCTAACGCGTTACCATGTACGTTACCATCCAATTCAAATCCTGTGGGAAAAAGAACTTTTGTTTCTAAGAATTCAACTATGAAATGAAAATACAACGAACAATGAAACTTATTACCGGATGGTTTGATTTGGTTCGAAACGTTTATAGCAATTTTCCACAATTTCCTTTGAGTATCCAGCAATTTTGTTTTTCTCAACAATGTTTATGGTGTTTGGTGATCATTGAATGTTACAATTCTTGCTTCTCCACACTACAGTGTTAAGCTTATACTAGTGTTTGAGTGGTCACTTTCCGGATGAGAAGGAAAAATGATGATCCACATATCCAAATCTTAAAAGGAAACGATCGAAAATAGTAATAAACTGAACAAAGGAGATCATCAAATAATGAGTTGCTTAAGATATTGGTTTCGTTATTCAACAAACGCCACTCCTTTGATAAAAGCTATTCTCGACGGCAATAATGAACTATCACGAGAACTAATTACTCAAGGTGAAGACCTCAATGTCACAGATAATGAAGGAGGAACACCTTTGATTTGTGCTGCATTCAAGGGCAATAAAGAGATCGCTGAAATACTAATTGATGAAGGTTCTGAAGTCAATCAAAGAAATCATAAGAAACAAACGGCCCTCTTTTATTCAATTGCGAATAACAACGAAGAGGTTGCACGGCTACTCGTTTTAAAAGGTGCTGATGTCAATGTATCTGATAAACATGGACAAACTCCTTTATTCCATGCAGCTGAAAATAATAACGAAGAGTTTCTACGAATGTTGATTGAGAAAGGTGCTGTCAATGTATCTGATGATATATATGGACAAACTCTATTCATTGCCGCTAAAAATAACAACGAAGAGGTTGCGCGACTGTTGATTGAGAAAGGTGCTGATGTCAATATATCTAATAAATACGGACAAACTCCTATATTCGAGGCAGCTAAAAATAGCAACGAAGAGGTTGCACGAATGTTGATTGAGAAAGGTGCTTATTTCAATGTATCTGATATAGATGGACAAACT